GTGCGGGCGTGCAGGTGGGCGCGCGGGTAGGCGTCCAACCTAGTGTGCGCGAGCGTCTAGCTCGGCGTGCACATGGGCGTCCAGGTGGGCGTATAGCCACGGGCGCATGAAGGTTCAAACATGGCGCGCGAAGAAGGGCACTAGTGTGTGCGCCGGCGTGCACTTTGGTATGCATCCGAGCGTGCGCACGGGCGTGCATGGCTTGGCACGCCGTGCACTCAGAGACATATGTATGTGGGTGCAGATTGGTGGACTTGGGCTAGGTTCACAAGGTTGACTCAGATGTGGCTAGAGCATGGATAACAAAAGTCATGGATTGCGGTTACAAGAGTTGGTGGCTTAGTGGGCTCGGTTGGTTGGGGGAAGTTACTAGCACTTCCCACTCATCATGGGAAGTGGGGGAGTGCTGAGTAACCTCCCAAACATGTGGCACAATTCTGAGAAGACCAACACACAGGCGGTTAAGGGTGGTTTCCTCCACTATGCAGAATCTAACTTCTTGTGGTTATGTGGCATGAGCAGAACATGCCAACAAGTCTAGCAGTTGGGCTTGTCAACTGCATTATAGTGCTGTCTCATTTAGAGGGTGCCAGCACGACCCTAGGTGGATGGGGGTGTCATCCATCATCTTAGTGGGCAGTTATGGGCGGTTTTGAGAGTGGCCTATATAATGCTAAGGTAGGCTTTGTAGAGGGAACAGAGAAGAGGGTGTGAGCCTTGGTTGTTTCTTGTACGAACTCATGTTCCTTTGTAATATGTTTAATATGAGCAAAGGTTGGGGCTTGTCCCTGTAACTGTGTGTGCCTTCTTTACATTTTCTATACTGTGTGTATTGTGTTGTTGTGTTGGCTGAGACTTGGTGGCCCCAAGTGCCATTGCAGAGGCAAAAATTCGTGGTGTAATTTAGCCCTGTGACAATTATTATGATGCATATATAGGGATTTTTCAAAGTTGCAAGAAGCCAGCTCGATTTGGTTAGAGTCAACGAAAGAAAGAAAATGAAAATTTTAGACTTTTTTTTTTTTTCAGAACAGAGGAGGTATCCCCAGTTCCCCACACATTTGGTGAGACTAATCCGGATTTTGCAAAGTTGCAACAAGCCAACTCGGTTTGGTTAGAGTTAAGAAAATAAAAGAAATGAAAATTTTAGAAATTTTTATTTTTTTCATAACAGAGGTATCCCAACACATTTTTACGAGTGAGACTAAATCACCTCGGGCACACGCAACACCCCACAAGTCACATGTATTGAATAAGACCGAGCAAGTTTAGACTCAGCCTAACTACAACTTAACCCGTGTGGGTACCTCCACAGAAATTATTTACCCAGAAACTTAAACCTGAAACCTAATACTTCATGAAACACTAGCAGGGACCGAGCCTCAAATTTTTTTGAGGGGGAGCACAATGTAGTATTGTACATCATAACATAAATTTACAATGTAATGCACATACATATAAGTCAATGTTTACGAGTAGACATATATACAGTGGCGGAGGCAGCGTGTGCCCGGGGGGCAGCGCCCATGCTGCCCCACTATAATTTTTTTTTTTTTATACATAAATTTGTAAAAATTGATAAAGTGTCCCTCCTAAAATTATTAAAATGACCCATTTGCCCTTGAATCTACTAAATTTTATTTTATTTTATGCGTATAATTTGTAAATATTTATAAAACATTCTCATAAAATTTATAAATTATCCCCATAAAATTATCTATTTCTAAAAATGTCTTTAATTCTTTATTCATTTTCCTTCTTATTCTTCAAATTTCTTTTTGTCATCTTTAAAAACTTTTGCATTATCTTTCTACAATTAAAACCTATTTTTTTCTTCAAAATTCTCTCATTTTTTTTTCTTTTTATTTCATTTTCTTCTTAAAAAATTCCTTCTTCTTCTTAAAAACTTCTTTTTTCTTGAACTCATGCATAATTTATGTATCATAACCTTCTTTTTCTTTTTTATCTTCTTATTCATTTTTTATTCACTTATTCTAACGCACTGTTGTTACACTATTATATTTTCCACTTGCATGAAAAAAATTATTTTGTTAGTGCTAACATGCCCCCTCTGAACCAAATTCCTGGCTCCGCCCCTGCATATATATATATATATAAAGATAAAGAGAGTGATATTTTTTGGATGAAATTAATTTACAGATATAGAATATAAGGATTAAAGAAACAATTTAGGAGAAAAAAATAAGAAACATATATAGAATTCTAAAGGGAAGGAGAAAATTCAAGGAGAGCACTAGGACCCGAGTTCTCACCCACTAAGCCAACCCACACCATTAATTTAGAAGTTTGGTTAGCACAAAAAAAATTGAGAAAAAATTATTTTGCATAACCACTAAACTTTTCCATCATTTTTTTATTAAAAAAAAAAAAAAGAAAATTTTGATTTATCAAAGTTTGATGAACTTACTATAATGTCCTTTCTCTTATGACCATAAAATAGTAATTTTTCAAAAAAAAAAAAAAAAAATCAAAAATCAAAAATTTTATGCAAGTAAAATAAACTGTGTTTATGATGTGAGGGGTTCAAGCTTTAGTGAAGGCATGGATGTGTGACTACCAACTGAAAAAATAAAATAAACTGTGAAAAAATTATTTGAAAGGGCGAAAGGAGAGAAAACACAAGGAAAATTACAGTGCAAAAAAAACATTTATTTTTGTTTGGTTAATTTTGAGTCCGATGAAGAATTAGTGATGTTGGCGAATGCTGCTTTGCAAGAAGAACGAGATAACATAGAATGAAGAACAATAGTACAATGTGGTTCCATTCAAGGTCATGCATTTATCAACAAAGGACGAGTTCAAGGCATCAGGGACTCTCTATAATGACTATTTCGTTGAAAACCCTATATACACTATAAGTCAATTACGGAGGAGATGGGCTTATCCATTTTTTTTTTATTCGAATTGTTAATCAAGTGGAAGATTATGACCTGTACTTTGTCTAAAAAAGAGATCGAGTAGGCTGTCTTGGTTTGTCACCTCTTCAAAAGGTCATAGTTGCAATGAAGATGCTTGTTTATGGAGTTGCAACGGATGTTGTAGACGATTGTGTGAGAATCACTGAAACTAACTCGATTGAATCATTATAAAGGTTTGTTGAATCTATTGCTCATATTTTTTGCGAAGAATACTTGAGAAAACCAAACAACGATGACATTTGTAGATTGCTAGCAGAAGGTGAAAGGTGTGGGTTTCCTGGGATGCTAGCTAGCATCGACTGTATGCACTGGAAGTGAAAAAATTGTCCAGTTGCGTGGAAAGGCATGTATGCTCGTGGAGACCACCACGAGCCTTCATTGATTTTAGAAGTCGTGCTTCGTATGATATTTAGATATGGCATGTTTATTTTGGACTACCTGGATCGCACAATGATATCAACGTGTTGGATCGATCTCATTTATTCATCGACCTCTTCGAAGGTCGAGCTCCTCCAGCCAATTACTCAATTAATGTCCATGACTATACGATGGGATATTATCTTACTAATGGCATATATCCATCGTGGGTGACATTTGTGAAAACTCAATAGTCAACAAGGAAAGACGTAGAGCGAGCGTTTAGAGTGCTCCAGGCGCGTTTTACGATTGTTAATAGGCCTACTCGTTTATGAGATCGTCAAACACTTCAACATGTCATGAAGGAGTACATTATACTGCATAACATGATTATTGAAGATGAACGTGACAAAAGTATTGGCCCTAGTGCCTCATGAAGTATTAAGTCTAAGGTTTTGATCTTTCTGGGTGTAAACAATTCCTTGGGAAAGGGGGTGGGAGGTGTTGGTTGGTTGACTAAACAACTAGGAAAAAAGAATGTCTTCCGCTCAATTACAATGCAACAAAGGGTGAAGGTTGTGACTATGCAATGTCACGCAATCACATGGCGAAATTCTTGGATTTCATTTAAAATCACTTACGCATTCACGACAGAGGAACACATTCTCAACTCCAAGAAGATCTGGTTCAACACATGTGGCATTTTCAAGAGAAAGGGGGGCAGTAAAGCATGTGATTTACAGTGATACTATGCATTGTCATTTTATTTTTGTTAGTCTTTTAATTAAAGGGTAAAATACAACCACACCTCTTGAGGTTTAGCAAAAGGACATTCAGAGAAACTTACTTATTTTTTGGACAAAGATACCCCCTGAAAGTTCAAAAATGGACAAAGACATCCCTTTACATGAAAAATTGACCAAATTACCCTTTGACCGTTTAGGAGACTTTTTTAACTTTACAATTTAATAAATTTAAGATGCATAAAGTTATACTGATGCCATATTTTTTATTTTTAAGGAAAAGAGATTGGTTTAATTTTTTTAAATGAAATAATTAAGCATCTTAATTTAAAATAAAAAATAAAAAGAAATAAAGTAATAACAAAACATAATTTATTTGAAATATATGTATTGAATCAAAAAATTATTTTAGACGTCTACATTTTTAAGAAGTCGGGACATTTATAAATTTTACTTTTTTTTTTTTTTTTATGCATAAATTGTTCATGAGGATAGATTGGTTCAATTTATTAAATTGTAAAGTTAAAAAAGTCTCCTAAACGGTCAAATGGTAATTTGGTCAATTTCTCATGTAAAAGGTATCTTTGTCCATTTTTGAACCTTCTGTGGGTGTCTTTGTTCAAAAAACATATAAGTTTCCTCTGAGTGTCCTTTTATCAAACCTCATGGGGTGTAACTGTACTTCACCCTTAATTAAAAGACAAAATATTAATAAATTAATAAATTTGACATATGTGCCCGAAATCTTTAAAATTTTTATATGTCAATTTGTCACATCTCACCTCAAATGAATTTGGCATATGAAATTTGAAAATTCAGGTGGAAGATGCTCTAATTTACATGAAGTTTATAATTTGAAACAAATCAAAAGGAGGACAGTGCAATTCAGAAAAGTTTCGTGGAGGTAAACATAATTTAACCAATGTGCCTTTTAAACTTGGACAGTTGGGTTCTTCACGTTTCTCTGTTTTAAACAAATTCAAAAAGCCAATGGAAATCGAAGGCCAAGATGGTTCAAAAACCCTACTGAAAAAGGGGTTTAAGAGAGAGCTAGGAAGAGGATTAGGGTTTGATTCCAATGATCGAACCATTTCTCGTCGTCACGTTGTGTTCGAATTTAAAAAAGATGAGAGCCAAACAGACCCAAATTCAGAATCTAGGGTTTGTTTCGAAGTTACTGGAAATAACCCAATTTGGGTACGTAATCGTGCGAGTGGTGAAATTAGGGTTTTTAGGAGGTCAGAGAGAGGTGAAATGGAGGGTGGAGATATGTTCTGTGTTTCTGCGAAGAAGCCTGTTTGGTTCACTTTGAAAAGAACCGAGCTTGAAGGCGAAAATGAGAGTGAGATGAATAGTGAATTGGGGAATGTGAATGAATTGGCTGACTGCTTACAGAGTAGCTATGGGTTGAGAGGTGTTGAAGATTTAGAGCTCGATTCTGCTGATGATTCAAATATTGACCCCATCAAAGGTGTGGTTCTGAACACACACTCGCACACACGCATATATGCATTTTAAAATCTTAGTATGTTAAATTAATGATGTTCATATGAGGATGAATTGCAAAGTTATTTACTTTAGTTAGTCATCTCAAGACAAATCCTGAAGAACTCACAAGCACACACGCACTTTAAAACTGTGTTTCAAGAAATTAAAACATAAGTGATGTTTTCACTTGAAATTGCTATGTTGAAAAGGTTTGGTTTGATTGAACAGTGTATTTTGAGTATGGCTATTTTGAAATGGTTGGGTCTGATTGAAACTTTGTGTTACTTGATATTGATATGCTCTGGGTTTTCTGTGTTAAGGATGGTATATGTGTTGTCAGTTGCTACAGATGTTGATTTTATCTTTCTTGTCATTGTAATAGCCTTTGCTTAAGTTCTTTCGTGACGGAACGTGTGAGTTTGAGAAAATTATCGTAAACTTGGTGGCATTTGGAATATGAAAATCGACAAGACCCACCAATGTGGCTCATGAAATTTGTATGAGATTTATGACAGTGCTCTTTGGGTAAATGACTACTAGTTTATGACAAAACATCTTGATTTTATTGCCTTGCCCATTTAATGTCGACCAACTGTCTGAAAATTTTGGGACCTGTTTTTAATGGAATGGCCTCATTCACTATTTACATACCAGACTTTCTTTTAAACAGAATTCATTACAAAATGATCTTTTGAATCTTGAAACCATTTATAAAAAGCTTAAGCAAAACCATGTAGAACGAAATAACTTAAATACGATGAAGCTAACATTTTCCTAAATGGTTCCATTCAAGATGATAGATTTTTACATTGGATTGAATTCTTATGTGAATTCTAAATTAAATTTAATGGACATCTAAACAGTCCTTAATGCTTCATTACGTGTATGTATTGTAAGTGTTTATATCTCACTGGCTGTAGCACAACTGTGAAGATGGAAAATGGATGGGTCAACATGTTACTTATTTCCCTCTCTGTTTTATATATTGAGATTATATATTGAATGTAGCTGGCCGTGATTTTTCAATATTCGCTACTACTAATGTTTCAACTAACATTGAACATCATTGTTGTGTATCTAGTCTTGGTTTGACATGTTATAGAACCATTAGCTCCCAACTTGCTGGGGCACGCTTACATGTTTTCACACTGAGTTCTACCTTATGCTACATGTTTCTTTTACTATTAGTATTTTTATTTGGACATATATAGGGTAATTTTGTTGCAAATACTGTCATGTGTGTTTTTCTAGTTAGAGCCCTATAACTACTATTATATTTTTTTTATAAATATATGTATATACACTTGTCATTCAGAGTTCCATTATGGATATGATTATGTTGTATTTGCTAATTGCATGGCTGTTTGTGGAAATGCAGAATTTGGTTTTCTCATAATAGGGCATGAGTTTGATCACTTCCCAAAGCAAATGATCTGTGATGCCAAGTCTTGGGACTGGTTCCTTGAGGAGTCTACTGGTGATAGTGACAATGATGACCTTCTTGAGAATAGAAGGAAGAAAGGCACAAGGAGAAAGAGGAAGAAAGGTAGAGGCGGTGATGATGATGACTGGACTGGTGAGAGTGAAGATGATAAGGAGTCCATTACAAAAATAAGAAAGGTTTCGAGGCCCAAATATTCTACTAGATCCAAGGAGCATGGCAAACCTATCAAGGATGGAAGAATCAGTAAACACGCAGTAGCAAAAAAACCTGATACTGGAAATGAAGACGATGAGGAAGACGAAGATGACGATGACGATGAGGATACCCTCGGAGGTTTCATTGTTAAGGATGATGACATTGAACAAGAAGAAGAAGAAAGTGATGTAGATGAAGAAGAAGAGGAAGATTTTGAAGACGACGATGAATAAGTAACAGATGAGAGACGGCAATTCAAAGGAAGGGATGGAAATGCTGCTAGGCATTCGTGAAATGGTTAACAGCCTCAAATCCGAAACGAGTTGTTTTAATGTTGTCTTATGTAACATGTGCGATCTTCATCCATCCCCAGTCTTTCTAATTGAATCTTATGTTTCCTTGTGATTCACAACATTCTTTTCTAGTAATTAAACCACAAAATTCTGGAACATGAACAGTCTGCTTCTATCTGTCCCAAGCTTCACAAACTAGCTGTGTGTGCTTATGTTGTTCCATAATCCATACACCATTGGAGTACTTCCATGTCCTGCATGAGTGCCAAAGGATTAGGATCTGTTGACAGGGGCAGTCTCTTCATGCAATTCAAAAGGTATCATGTTTCGGTATTAAGCGTGGATAGATACTCTATAGGGCTAGCCCAGTGCTCAAGGCTTTTGTCCGGGAAAGATTAGATGTATAGTCTTATTATTTGTGCAGTTCTCTTTAAATTTTGTCACTTCCAAAGAAGAGGTTCAAGGTTGAGACAACTGACAAGCAAACATCTTTAACACAGTTCCAATACTAAAGGGGTCAAAAAAAAAAAAAAAAAAAAAAAAAAAAGGGAAAAAGAAGAAAAAAAAAATTGGAATCAAGTGGAGTGTCTATTTTACTTCAATTCAATTTTCATCGCAAGTGGCAAAATTGATCAGGTCAATGAAAAAATATATTGAAAAGGAGCAATAAAGAGAGATCAGAATTGTTTATTTATTTTATTTATGTGGTACAACACCATAATTGTCATAAACTTATTGAGAAAAAAAATAATAAAAAAAAATCTTCTTTGTTCTACATCTCGCTCTCACTAATGTGTAGGCACACTACTTTGTTTCAATTGATTTGAGCTTTCTTCATGCTCCAAGCACTCAATCTTGAGATTTTTACACTCTCAGTTCCATTGTTGAAGGCATAAAGATGGGCCCCACCATCAAGAGCCAATGTGGGATAAACCCTAGCAGTGATGCAAGCTTTTCCCTCTCCACCAAAGCTTTCCACAATGGAGTTATCTATCTGCACATAAACATAACATAAAAATGGTGAAAAGATTGACAATGGAAAAAGATTGCAGACCAAAGAAGTACACCAATACATATAGGATATTGTCCTTTTTGAAGGATGATTTGCTAACTTTGAATATACAACAAGACGCTAACAATATAATTAGAAAAATTCTAAACTTGTCAGACACGCATCAATAAGCTATTGTAGTGAACACACTCTCACTACAATATATTGTCTTGATTTACACTGGTATCATGGCTGCAAAGGGACAATAGAGGACATTTGCTTCTTGCATAATTAAATGTCTAGGACCGACAAATGTGACAATCTAGTATAATTTTTATAATACTTATTTTATTAAAACTAATATTAAAGATTATGTTTGTTTTCAGCCCTTTTTACCCTATTTAAATAAAGGATTTTTTTAGTAATGGTGGAACATTAAATCAAATAATTGGGTGAAGACTGTTCAAGATATTAAAATATTTGTGTTAACTTACCAAGCTCCTTAGTGACAATTTCTCATGAACAGGGTCCACATCTACAAATGCTCCATAGGTGGTTTTGTCATAATCAAGATGTAATGAAGACCTGTTAATTACACAAAAACAGATTAAGAATCTTTATTTAAACAAGAAAGGTAATATGTGTGTGTGTGTGTGTGGAGGGAGAGAAAGGACCTGCTCTGGTCACTGCACATGAGCACAACATATTTGCTTTGACCCTTGAAAACTCTGAAGAACACTGCTGTATATTCTTGCAAGTTCTTTGAAGCCAAAACAAGTAACCCAAATGGTCCAAGCCCACCTTTTACTGATGCACCCTTTTGGCTACAAAGCACTTGTGGGTTAGTCCAACTAGGGTCCAACACTTCAGCTTTCTCAAACTCTGTTATTTCAAATGCAATATCTACATCTGCCTGTAAAAGTTCAAAACTTGGTACTTAATTTACTACCAGCACATATTTGTGTCCAAATGAACAAATATACTAGCTGATGAAATGTTTCCATAACCAAAATCTCACCTGTGTGGCTGTCACCCCAGAAACTTCCACCACTGATCCTCCCTTGAGCACTGTACTTGGCGAGTCAACTCGTTTCGTACGTAGCTTCTCGATCTCTTCAATTGGCCATTGCACCAATTGTTTCCCAGATTTATGCAGCCAAATTTTCCTAGGAATTGCCTGCAAAATGAAATTCATGTGAACATTTTTATAACCCATTCTAATGAGTCACAATTGACTCCAAATTCAGCCACTGCAGTGCGGTTGAATGGGCTGAATTGACACTTCAAACCTTTGTCCAGACCATTAGCTCAGATGGTATGATCTCTCTTATTTAAAGAGAAAGTTGAGAGTTTGAGTCTCGTTAGAGGCAATATTGTGAGTGTGTATTTTTATTGAACTCTCGAGAAAAATTACCTGAACTCCTGACCATCCCTTCAAGACATCAATGGATGCATTCGTCGATTCGTTGATCCATCCCCACAATATCCTCCTGTTCTTGACATTGTCGAAGAATGTCTTTGACGCATAGAACTTCCCATAATCATATCTCAAACCGGAATCGTTATCCACGGATCCCTTATCCGGGGTGTAAACATCCTTGCCATGGTTATAAGTCCCAATTGTGTAGTACTCATGCTTAGTGTCATCCAAGCTAGCCTTGAGCACATGTTTAATCCCCAAACCAATCATGGATGTGTCAAGACCATTTTGTGTCACACTAGACACAGGAAAAAAATCAGGACACTCCCACATTCCAGTGTCCTTGGCTGAATGAAGAGGATGCTTAGCCTTAGTCCAGTGAACAAAATCTTTGCTCCTATACAGAATCGCTAGTCCTCTGTGGTGTCTTTTGCTTCCAATTATGACCCTCCACTTCCCATCTAGGCCTAGCCAAGCTGTGGTGGGGTCCCTAAATGAGCTAGCGTTGATTTGGTTCATGGCATTGGGTGCCATCAGTGGATTGTAGGGTGACTTAACCCACTCTATTAGGTATGGGTCAGACAGGTTTTTGGGCACAGCCAAGTTCTGGACTTGTTGTTTCTGAGGGTCTATTCCAGTGTACAAAATGGCCGGTTTGCCGCCCGGGAGGAAGGTGGCTGACCCAGACCAGCAGCCATTGATGTCAGCTTCCTGGGAAGGGTAGATGGCATGAGCATGTGGGGTCCAGTTAACGAGATCAGTCGACGTGGAATGGGCCCACACTATGTGTCCCCAAACTGCACCCTTTGGGTTGTACTGGTAGAACAGATGGTAAATTCCCTTGTAGATCAAAGGTCCTGCAATTGGCAAAAGTTGCATACATTAATGTTCTGTGTCATAGGACTCGCATGGTCTGAAACCAAACATTTCTAATCTTATACTACTAATACAAAGTACATTGATTTGAATGATAAATGAATACATATTACATTGATTTGAATTGTGGGTTAAGTGAATCAAGGTCTTAGAATACAAAATCAAGAAAGATTAATCCATTGATGATAACTCAAACTTGAAAAACATATGATCAAAATATATAATGTCTTAGTGTTCTATCATAGGGCTTGCATGGTCTGAAACCAAAAATTTCTAATCTTATACATATATACACTTAATATAAATACAACGTACATTGATTTGAATTGTAGGTAAAGTGAATTAAGGTCTTAGAATACAAAATCAAGAAAGATTATAACATTGATTTTTGCTATTTCATCAGTCCTTTGTTGTTCATCATAACTCAAATATGGTCAAAACCAGAACAATTAAGAGTAGATAGAAAAAAGATCTCACCATTAGGATCTGTGAATCCAAAGACACCCCATTTATCCATTCCACAAGCAGAGCAAGTCAAATGACAACAAGAAGAAGAAAAAGCAAAAACTATTAGAAACATGAAAAATAATAATAATGTTATATTTCCAAGGAAGAGTTTGTGAAGAGAGTACCATTCATCCAGTTCTTGGGAGGTTGGAAGTGATAAGAAGTTCTGTAAGGCTGATTTGTGGAAGTGGATTGAAGAGATTGGAGGTGTCTATAGACATGGTGAGAAGCTTCAAGTTGAAGAACACTACTGCCAAGGAGGATTGAGAATAAGCATATTAGCCAAACACAAGGGTTGGCCATGGTTGCCGTGAGTGGGATGGGAAGAGAAGGGTATAGGCAGGGGCTTATTTATGGATGGAGATGGACATTAGCATTGATGATGGAGTCCACCAATAATGAATGTGATAGTCCACAAAGATTAGTCCACAAAAGAGTTGGAAAATAAGAGGGAGAGAAAAATCAAAGAAGATGTGGAGATGAATCTTGGATCAATGAAAGTCAACGGTCAAGCCTATTGTCATCATGTTTGATTTGTATAATGAAAACGATATTGATCTTATTTTTTTTTTTAAATAAATAAAATAAAATGGAAATCTAATGGCTAAACTCTAAAGCAAGTCTGGATTACCAAACTAGTTGTGCCACTGATTCTATTAAAAATTCTCCTTTTCATGTGACAGATATGCCAAAATATGTGACTAACTCTAAATTTTGGCATTTCGGAAACTTAACAAACATTTCCATGAATTTATGCATTTGATTCTAGAGCCCCTTGTCTATATTTTAACTTGACAACACTGTCCTTGGAAACTGCAAAGAAATTCTTTGGTTACATCGTCATTTAATTTATTTAATCATTTAATGATCAACCAAGTGATTAATTTAAGGATTTGGATCTCTCCATTATTTTATTTCTAGTATATTTTTATGATACTTTTTTTTATTTTTTTGGAAAAACTACTGGGGGAATCAAATATGGGCATATACTATTTACTAATTATAAGTCATGGGTAAAGCTGTATATTTTATGATGCTTGATTCTACGATTCAGTATGCGTCACATCAATTTATCATTTATCAAGTAAGATTATTACATTTTAAAAATAATTTTTTTTGTTAATTGACGTGACACATTCTAAATCATAAAATCAAGCATCACTGAGTATCGAAAAAGAAAATTAACAAGGACACCTACATCATTAACTTGGAAAACATAAAATATATCAAACTTTTGTACTAGGCAATTTTGTTGAGGATATAATTTATTCCCTTTAACTCACTCAACGACTGTTGTTGAAAGTTAAATTTTTCATTCATCACACACAACGGAAGTATCATCGCATCATTTAAACACAATGATATATGAAGATAACAATCAAACACATTCACGCACAACACAAAATTTTATATGGTTCACCTAATTTTAGGGTTACGTTCATGGTCAGAGAGATTTCACTATTATGAATCAAGGAAGAGATTATACAATCACATGTCAAAACCCTACTCACTTACTCATCATCACTTTTGAGGTTACATGTATACACTCAGGAATTACGCATACTCTCCCCCTCCTCACAACACTCACCCTTAAAACCTGTACATTTTTTCTCGATCTCTTCTTTCTCTCTAAACCTTTCATACCCATCTCTATTTATAGAGTCTTCAAATCTCAATTCCTTATTAGATAAGTATTCCCTAACTTGTCTACAAGAAATTACTGTATCCGTCTTCAATTCTAAAATAGTAGGTACAACTTCTTCTTCAATTAATCTTCAGTCTTTCCCCCAAGTCTTCTAACTTCCAAAACTAATTAGGAAATTGTTTCTCGCAGCTTCCAACAAATCATTGTCCAAGTTGAACCGGTTTAGCCCTATTTGAATAGATTCAACTTTGGCAGTAGCCAAAATTCAACGTCACAGTTGAACGGATTCAAAGTCACTGAACCAATTCAACTTTGGCAGTAGACTATGCATACCAAAATCAGCAACTTTGAACATCCCAATTCTTCACGGAATTAACGTGTGATCAAATTATATTTTCACGTACGTACTCAACATAGTTCCACCTGAAACAAGAATCTCTTCGTAGTTCCAACTCAATTGAAGATTTCTCCACTTCAAATAAAGCACTATGATTAACTTGAGAAACACTCAAACAAATTCCAACTTTTGTAGTTTTTAATCCATCTTTGCACATTGGTGGAAGAGGCATAGTTTTTAGAAATTCTTCGGGTTCAATTGTGAAAGTAATGGTGTTTGGCACATTTCCATCTCAGTCCACAACATCAACGGAAGCTGTATGTCTTAGAAAAGCAATGGAGTCGGCTCTAAACGCGAATCTTCGGACTATTTGGTTTGAAAGTGATTCTAAGATAGTGTGTGATGTGGTGCTGCAAGATGGTCATTGCTTTTTATATCAAAGAGGGGATGCAAATATTTTTCTCGTCTAGTATTAGTCATGTTCGTCGGCATAGTAATGAGGTAGCCAATAGGTTGGCGAAGTTCTCCACAGGCCATTGCTAGTATTCATCATTTTCTAGAGCTTTGAGCCTCCCCCACGTAGTTAGTCTTGAAGAAATCATCAAAGAGCTAAGATATGACAATCTTTATTAAAAAAAAATATGGAATGTTCAGATACGTCAAGTTTGAGATCATTTTAAAATAATCACTTTGTATAATTAATATTAATGGTCGGATTTATATTCAAGGATTCAACTTATCCAAAAGTAGTCCAAGGACAAGTCGACTAAATTTTGGAGTAAGAAAGACATGTGATGCAAAATTTACTTTAAATACAAGAGAAACCATGACACGCGAAACTAAGACGCTGTTTTTTGACTATTAATTAAGTCACAAGTGGGAATGGAGGCACATCCATTTTAGCTTGAAATACTATTTCTGTGGCCCCAAAAAAGGAAAAGAATTCAAATATGGCATAGACACAAACACACACACTAACTATGAGAAGAAAAGTATGAAATCGCAATCTCTTTTCTCTGTCCTCCACACACAGTGACACCCACGGATGGTGGTTATCTAACATATTGCCACTAGCTAGGACAATTGACCAGTTGACAATTGCATAATCTAGGGCACGTTTCATATAAACTATGCGTGGTTGTATACTTTTCTTAGGGTTTTTAGTTGTTTGTTGTTTGGACTTTTTGGATCACTGTTTTGATTCCGGCTCTTTTTTCCATTTTTTTAAATAATTAAATCATGTAGTTGGGAGTTGGTACACGTGGATACATTTAACAAGCTGCATATGGTGCTAGATTGATTCGTTTAATTGGGAATTTGTTTTATCTAAAAACTCTTCCTCAAAGTTAGGCTGATCTGGCAATATATATACGTGTGTAGTATACATATATATATATAAGGGGTAATTTTTTTTTTTGATAATATGAAGTATTGGAAACTAATTTAAAAAAAAAAAAAAAAAAAAATTAACGTGAATATGAAAAAACATAATAGTGGTATTTACATGCACAAAATTTATACATTAACAAGTAAAAGTAATTTGAGCAAATGAGTGTTGTTATATTTATACAAAATCTTTGACTTTCACACCATAACTTTAAAAAGATGGTCTTCAAAATTTCTTCCTTTTATTATATATTTATGTAAATAAAGATTTTTTGAAAGAAAAATGAAATAAAGAATAATAAGGACCAGATGTTGTGAAGTAAGGATATGAAATACTTGTATGATAACATGATAACACAACAAATTTTTAAAAATTATGATAAGGATGAGATAATAAAATTAAAAATATATATATTTTTATTATGTATAAATTTTAAATTTTAATTATTTATGTTTTATATCTATATTAATAAACATAACCTATTTAAATTAGATTAACCAAATAATACGCACTACTCTTGAAAAACATTACAACCAAACATCCTTTTGTATCCAATAGTAGAATACTATCTTTATAACCAAACATTCGTCTTAGATGATAAGGATTGCAATCTCATTCCCAACACGTCTCTCATTCACATGTTTTTTAACCATATCCCTCTTACATTCCTTTTAGGTTTTAATATTCCACCTATCTCCCTTAACATTTTGATTTAGGTAGCAAATTACCCCCTCTCGTTATCCCACTTACACTCCTTTAGGTTTTAATACTCCACCTACCTCCCTTAACCTTTTGATTTAGGTAGCAAATTACTCTCTCTCATTAAATAACGAACCGTTAGTGCTGATGTCATCAAAAATATATATATATATATAAAGTCAATTTTACCCTTTTCAATATCTTTAACCTAATTATCTAGTGCATAATTACAAAACTATCCTAAACTTATTAACTCAAGAGTACAACAATGTCCTTCCATATTCACAACCCCAATACCCACCACCATTTTGCGTCACCATCACCGTTCCCACACTCTCTCTTTGTATGACCAAAAAAAATGGTCATATTCTCAAGCTTATCACAAATAGAAATAGGGACTTTAAACCACTAAAAAGCTACTAAACATGAGAAAATAAAAAGAACTGAATATAATTATTATTTTTTTTGTTTTGAAAGCGAAATCGTTTCTGGGTATTATTTGTTGAATATAGATAATTTATTCAAATAATATATTATTATATATATTGATTGATTATATGCAATTTAATATTTGCAAGTATTACAAGACTTGGTAAATAAATTATAATATTTAGACAAAATGATATAGTTGTCCAACGGTTACAAAAAGATGTTATGGTGTGGCCGTTAAAGCTCTCAGTAATTGAATCAAAACTCGTGTAACATGGTGATACTTCCTTATCGACTACTAAATTGTAGGTGAGGCGCTTGGCATAAGGACGAGCTCAGTTCACCAATGATGCTTTTGTAGGAGGAATTGATTGAGTTTATAGCTATTTTTACTCCTTAAAATTTCAGATCTATAGCTCGAGTTAGCTTGAGATTAAGACCGAAATTGTTTAAACAACCAAATAAATCAAGTGATGAACCCATCTTCTCCGGCGATGGTATCTTCAACGCCGACGGTGAGAGCTAACTAGATGTTGCAGAGACAAGTCTCGAGTCCCGACGTGAACAATCCTTGCCAGCCGACCACCATCGCTAGCTCATCTTCACCGCCGCTTCACGCACTTCATCCACGCCGGGCAGCCCAGCTCACTGCCATTTTCATCTGTGCTCGCCGGCTTCGTTGTACTCCGTCTTCGCCGGTAAGTTCATTGCCCGCTGACATTCCAAGCTGTCGTGCCGTTACGAACAGACCCACTGCTCGCTGTTTAATTGTCAGCGTCCTCCGTTGAAGCATCGCGATGGTCACAATCTGCCTCACGCCGTTTCGAGCACACCGTTGCTTTTGTAACGTGTGTCTTGACTTTGAAGGGTGTTTTTGTCTTTTCGATTCAACGTTAAATTTTTATAAATATTAATAATATATAATTGATGGGCAAAATTGTAAAATTACACAAATCCGCTAATACACTAAGGAGGTAAGTAAAATATTAAAACCTAAAAAAAAATGTCAGTGAAATATGATCCTAACTTCTCCTTATCCGGGATACATAGGAAGGGTGTTTTTGTCTTTTTGACGTGTTGAGGCATTTGGAAAATTTGAGAGTGTGTGGTCTGTTAGTGTACCACCATCTAACTTCTCCTTATCCGGGATACAAAGGATCTGATCCATTTGAAAAATATAACACATGTTTTTTTAAAAACCAACCGGGGTTTCCAACTAATTTACGGATTCATACACACGAATCAAGTAAAATTTGAATTACGTCCAAGTTATAACTCATATGAAATTGGATGAACGCGCCTGTTATTGTTGGAGTTAATATAACATAGATATTGCTGTAAGTGACGGATTAGAAAATTTTGTGAAGGGAGGCGACCTACCAAAATTTTTTGTAAAAAGGAATAACTTTTTAATTTGTGGGGATAAACTTACATAGTAGGTCTATTTTTATAATTTTAATAAAATTTTATTCATAAATTTTAAAAAATTTAAACTATAAAATGCAAAAAGAATAAAAAAAAAATTAGTAGGGACGAATTATAATTTTAGTAGAAGTAGCTTTATAAATTCTCAAAAATTTGAAGTATAAAATGTAAAAAATAACAAATAAAGAATCTAGGGACGAATTGTAATTCTAATAGGGACATCTTCGTAAATTTTAAAGAATTTGAATAAAATAAAAATATAACAAATCCAGTGGGCACCTATTTTAGGTCCATGACTGGTTGCTGTTGTAAATTGTAGTAAAACATAAATTTATCAGTAGTATTGTCAAAAATAAATGTTAGCAAGAGGAATATTAAACTTGTGGTGATACCTTGTATAAAATATTTTTTAATTTATTTGGTAATAATATTATTTAAAACGTTTTTATTGCTAATTTTTCTTTTAGTGGAGTGTTGCTATATTTGATACTAGAAGGACTTTATAAAAAAGAGAGCAATTTGTCTTTATAAAAAATTTTAAAAAATAAGATTGTGTAATATAAAATAATTACTTAAAATATAAAAATCTCTACTCTGAACGCAGCGTCAAAAGTTCAAAATCTACCACCATCTAACTCCACCTTATCGGTATACAAAGGATTTGATCCATTTGAAAAATAAGATATACGTTGTTTCTATTGTAATAAAACATAAATTTATCTCAAAAATAAAAAAAGTATAAGCAAAAAGTAAACACTGCGAAGTGTGAGAACGATGCTTAAAGAAATAATTTGATAATATATATATATATATATATATATTAAAGAAAATGCAAGCAAATTTGATAATGTGCACTTCACTGCTTGCTTATAAAGGTCCATTTTGGTTGGCAGGCCACCGGCCACAAAAGTCAGAAACGAAGGAAAGTAAACGCTGGATAATTGACAACTTCAGCATATTTTATAACATGAATTTTTAATTTATTATATAAATTATACGCTGGAAAGCAAACACTAGTCTGTCCACTTATATACTATTATCTGAATCATATTATATTTTTTTAAATATAATAATAATTATTAAGTTCAATATAATGTGTCACATTATATAAGTTTATATGATATTATACTTTATATAATCTTCTGTTATACATACTGAGTAACACTAAATTTGATTTAATATATAGCGTATATTCTATAATGGTATAAACAATTTCTTACCAAAAAAAAATATTGTTATTGTTATATAGGATTTATATCATTTTATGCATAAATATTATATTACAATTAAGTTATAATATTAAAATATACTTATATTTCCATTACATATAAATAATGTATTTGATTCATTATAATATATTATAAATCATATGTGCGCGCGTGCGCATATTTTACAATGTAAAACCAACTGAAAGAATTACCTTTTTTGGTTAGAGGGTTAAGCTAACTGAAAGAATTACTTGTGTACACATACACTATATGTTACTGTATAGTGTAGTGTGAATGTTGTACACACCATACATTTGAAGATCTATATGTGAGAGGGGTGCAGAGGAGCCGAATCCGTGGTGATAATAATCATGATATTCAATCTATATGTCAAGGACTTGAGGAGTTTTTTAAAGATTTATCCTTAAAAATATGATTTGCTAGTGATTTTAATAACTAATAATAACTTGTCTTCACTAGGGATGGCTAGTGATGGCAAGCGGCCGGGTATCTAATTCCTCATCCTCATTTTCGTTTAATTTCTTCACTCCTGTAACCGTTACAAAATTCGTCGAGTTTTTCAAAACAGTCCCATCCTTACCCCCATTTACATAGTTGGTTCCTCAAAACCCTCCAAGAGGGACACCCAGTCAATAAAGTGGAGCCAGGATCTTGAAGTTGGGGGGAGGGGGGAGTAAAAAAAATATTACGCAGGCAAAAATATTTTATTATTTATTATATTCATATAAAAATATATTTATCTAAACTTTAAAAAATAAAAAATAAAAAATAAAAAATAAAAAAAAAAACTAGTTATTTAAAGAAATTTTTTTATCAAAGACTAAACACAAATAAGATTTATGCCAGAAAAAAAAAAAATCAGTTAAATAACTCTCTTTATTTACTGGAAAGAAAAAAAAAAAACAAAACAAAAATAATTTTTTTTTAAAAAAAAGTAAAAAAATTGAAAATTTAACAAAACAATAACAGTAATAAAAAAAATAAAAACAAATTAATAAAATAAAATTTTAGTTTCTTAAATCATTGATTTTTGTTGATATATAAAACTTCAAATGAAAATTTTGTTTTAGATTTTGTAAAAATTAATTTCTTATAGAATTCTTATAAAAGCATTCCAATAAAAATAAATAAATAAAAAGTGATGGAAAGAATCATATATGAGATGGAATTTTAAAATAATAAGATTATGAAAAAAATCATACTTGAGTTGAAAAGATTGTAAGATAGTCACATTATGAAAAGAACGGTGTTTGAGTTGAAATTTTAAAATAACCACATTAAATTTTTATCAGGGTTCTATAATAGTCAATTAAACAATTAAATCACTTTCTTTTAGATTATATATAAACTATCTTTTGTTAAATATTAATTAAAGAAAGAAATTTTTTTTTCTTGGGGGTCCAAGTAAAGATTTTATATCATATATGTTATACTATTTTATTTTACCCCCGGGGGGCCAGAGGATGGAATATTTTGCCATCCCTAATATATACTAATAAATTTATAGTATACTCGGGATGTGGCAACTATCCCCGAAACCAACCCAAAACATGTAGGATTTTTCACAACAGCGCACATCCTGCCCCCATTTAAATAATCAGTTCCCAAAACCGCCCCCAAACAGGGTGGGGTGGGATTCCGCTGATGTGAGATTTTTGCCATTAAGATAAGGAAAATCTTCAGCTGTAGACAAACTGACCAAATTGAAATTCTTAAAACACATTATTTTAAATTCATAGTGCATACTTCTTAGTTCATCAACGTAAAAGGTCCAACCAAATCACTCAAACATTAGTCATGAAGTGCCTGAAGTATAATATATGTTGATTTCAATGCTGTATTGTGGCGTATTTTGCTAAGTAGCCAAAACTACAACACACCTACAAACAGGCGAAGTGTGAAACATTGCAAGCAACATAAGAGCATGTTTTCAAGAAAATATTAGCAGCATATGGGACATCGAATTCTTTCGTCTGATCGAACAAAGTCATTACCTTGACATCACAAAACAACTAAACAATAAATTAAACTTACCCAGAACCAAGTAGATTTGCATCAACGTCCCTTGTAGCATCAAAATTCTCCTTCATGGTCGCATATTCCCCTTTCAGACGTGTAGCCACCTCCTCAACCTCAGCTATATCCTTCCGAATCCTCTCCATTCCAGCAGCAAGTTGTTCCTTTGCCATCTTCATCTCGGCCAAATTTAACTGGCCTTCAAGCCATTCGATCTCAATATTTGCTTCCTTCAAGTCATTCATGGTAGATTTAATAAACTGAATTTCAGACGCTGAAACAGCTCTGCAACGGAACTGACGTAGAATAACAATTATTTTACCCAGAGACTCAAAAACAAATTGCTTGAAGAACAGAAACTTCTTCTCCAGACACTGAAAGGTCTCAGGATGCAAAAGGGTGACTTCCTCAAGAATGGCTGCAAGTTCTTGAGTCAAGGATATTCCTCGCCACATAACTGATTGGCTTTGAGTCGCCGTGGATGAAATGAGTGCGGAGGTGGTCTGGCTCAACTTGCCTTGAGCTTGAGTACTCGTTCCCTTGTCTTGACCTTGACATGTTTCTTTAGAAACTACTTCTTGTGACCCCAGAGGAGATTTGTTAGTGAAATTATCTTCGTCAATTTGGAGTTTGTTACTTGTAATATCTCCCTCATGGATCACTTGCTCATCTACAAGTTGGGGTTGACTAGGTTCCTCAGCAGCAGCCTCCAGTTGAGGATTAACAGAATCCTCTTGGGCCTGGATATTAGTTCTAGGTTCTGACAGTTGGATGCCTTGTCCATTGGTTCTAAATATAGAAAACAAAGAAATAAAAAATGAAAAGATTAACATTTTCGGTTAGAATTCTGTTGCAATATCACCATAGCTACCAATACTAATTAAAATACACTAACTATTATCCTAGTTACTGGGTATAATGCTAATTTCCCGGCATAGGACAAACTAACAGAAGCATAAATATCATTACGAGATCCTATCTGATGTAGAACTGTAAAACAGTCCATCATTGCAAGTTATCCATCCAAGATAAATCGAAGTATAATATAGAGGGAATTAGTGTGAAGATGAACAATAGAACCTACTTTACAAACAATGTAACCAGATCAAAATCAAACATTTCATAAACTATTTGGCTGACTATAAAACAAACCAGATAAACAAAGAGGAATATTGTTACCCGACAGCCTTTCGTTGGAATTGAGGAACTGATGTAGGCCACCATGGGAGCACAAAGGGAAATGCCATCGCATGCCAAAGGGAACGAAAAGAGTCAAACAAACATACTCTTTTCAAAGTTCTGCTCCTCATGTTGCAGAGTATAATACCAGTACTAAACTCACTGTATAGATATATAATTTCTCCATCAGTGGGATGAAGAGGTAGGATTGACACACAAAAGGTAGAAAGGTCCGATTTTATCTTGTCCAGATTAACATTGTGCACCAAGGACCATTCAAGCACATTGTAGTCCTTAAGTTCCCAAACGTTGATAATGGAACAATAAAAGTGAATGAACCTGAGGTGTCCTTGGCACTCCCCTAAGAGACGTTCATTGGCTGCGGGACATCTGTCCTTGGGCTGCCTTATAATACGAAATTGATCAGTGTTGTTGAATGGATCATAGGCAAAAATCTTGCCCCTATAAAGAAACATCCAGTGGAGTTTTTCGTTGCAAACTACAGCGTTAGAACAGTCATAAGACATAATAAAGCTACGTCCCCGAGTTGATATCATGCTTTCTGTCCATTTCCATGTGTCTGAAGAGAATATATCCAATTTGAGATTGGCTGAACGTGGTGGTGGGTTTGGGTATTGTGGTTTTTCGAATTGGTGGATTCGAACCACTCTGAAGCTAGTTGTGCAGGTGGTATCATCAAAAGAACAACATGACTTGCAAACAAATCCAATGATGACTCTTTCTTGGCAAGTGGGTGGTGGAGGAAGTTCAACCCAATGCATTGTGAGGGGGTTGCAGACATAGTAAACCCTCTGAAAAGTCGAGGTTGCAGAGCATAGTACTAAGCCATTACTCGATGCTAAATAACAAATTGGCTCTGGTTCATGTTGCTCTGATGATGATGATGGATTTGAAGAGGGAAGGAAGTTTAGAGAAAATCCACGAGATTCAAAAATGGGTGATTCGGATATCAATTTGACTGCACGATCTCGATGCTGGTAGAAGAGGGCAAAGTGAGGCACCAAAGATGAGAAATTCTGGACATAACATTGAGCAAAATAAGGAGTGGAGATCAAATCATGCCAGCGTTTGGAAACACACTTGCAGAGATGGATGAGTTTGAGAGGGAGTCTTTGGAGAATTTCTACGAACAGTTCGTGGGTTAGGTTATCAAAGGGGGAATTTGTGGAGACGGAGAAAGGGGGTGACGAAGATTTGAATGGTTTGTGTCTTCTGAAAGGTGGAGAGCCGACCACCACTGCCGTCTCCGCTGTAACTGTCATAGTACCTGAAGTATCAATACCAACATCCCTCATCGCCAGAGTCCCTGTCACCATGTAGCTATAACGGTTAGATTTGTGCACATACAAATACCATGTGCACATATACTGTGACCGTATATAAAATTGATTCTTTGGTAACGGGTGATAACATATTCTATATATATATGAAACACATATATAAATTGACTGAGAACAATATATATATATATATTGAAATTGCAGAAAAGTACACACACATCTAACATATATATTCATACGCGAGAACCAAATAAATACACATTACACATTTAGCATAGTGTCTAAACGAGTAGAGAAGAAATCAAACCGCTGAGAATGGAAGGAGATGGCTTATATATTCATACGTGTTGAATTTGATTCGATAAGTTTTGCCAAGACCTAATCGAGAACCGAATGAGCGAAGAACTGTTGGAAATGATCGAAGAACTGATCTAAGAGAAGAGAGGTGGTGGTTGATTGAAAAAGGCGAAAATAAAAAATTGGCGCCAAAGAAAACGCAAAAATAAAAAAATTGGCGCCAAAAATAAAATAAAATAAGGGTTTTTGGGGGACAAAACTACTCCCCCTGTGACTCGTCTTTTCAACAAGGTCATCTATTTTGGGTAGGGGTGGCGTCAAAAATAAAATAAAAAAATGAGTATAACTTAAGTTCAAGTTCATTAAATAGTTCAAGCACGTTTATTATAATTAAATTATTTAAATATTTAAATTTAAGTGAATAAGTTAATAGATAAAAAGTAAATACTCATTCAATTCAAAAATCAATAGTAGATTAAGAATGAGTGCCCATCTTAACCCGTTCAAACAAAATTTTTTTTTTTTTTTCTCTTTCTTCTCTGATTTCTCTTCTTTTTTGTCATAAAAAAAAAAAAAAATTGCAACGCTTGAATAAGAAATTAATGTAATTTTTTTTTTTAATTTTGTTATTCAACAATCATAATAATAATAATATTACTGGAATTACAGATGTTCTAATATTATTAATATTAATTTTTTTTTGCTTCTATATCTCTATTTTTGTTTTTCTCTCTCCTCCCTTTCTCTTTGTGTTCTCCCTTGTTTTTCTGTGATAACTCTTCACTCTCTCTTCTTTTTTCTTTTTTTCTTTTTTTTTTGGTCCGTTTTTTCTCCTCTTTCCTTGTTTTGGACTGTGATAACTCTCAAAGTAAGTTACATAATAACTTTTTCCCAATAAATAAAAATAATAATAATAATAAAAAAATTGTAACTAGTGAAACCAAAAAAATTAATAAATTTAATATAAAAGTATTTTTATATATTTTGTTGGTATTCAGCAATTAAAATAATTTGACAATTTATATCTAAAAATATTTGAATAATTGAGTTGGGTGTGAATTAACAACCCCATTAAACCCCCAATTCTTTTATTATCCATCATAAATGGATTGATTATAAGTTATTAACTTACTCTTGACTCGTCCATTCATTATGACCCAAAATCCGATCAAATCAACTCAATTGCATTAATACAATATATTTTACATCAAAATTTTGATTATTTAAATTTAGACATAGAAATATATAATTTAATTTTTATACATACAAACATTAATATAATATACATAGATGTGTTTTTACGATATCTTAATTTTTGAAAAAATTTCATATTGTCATTAGTATAATGTCTTTGTCTATGCTTCATAAGTCACATGAATCCATAGTGAAATAAATCTTTAAAAGTGACAAAATAGTGAGAAAGTGATAATTTAATTAATAAGGCAAATTTTGTACCGACATTTGAATCAAAATGAATCACGGATTGGATCACAAAGAGGAAAAGGACACGAATAGTTACTAAATTCCATTTTTTTTTTTTTTTTCTTTGAGAAAAGAGACCATGTACCATAATCCATCGCCAAACACAAGCAGTTCTTCCATTTCATATGCACCATGCAATTGTAGCTAAATTCCTTAGAAGAGGTCTCAAGAAAATTCATTAGGACCATCATACAAACTAAAATACGTGCAGGATCATCATTAGGACCATCATACTTGCCGACCATCGATGAACTGATCGGATTAACCAACCAAATTTAGCTTCAGTCATTACGTATTGAACTGAGGCAAAAGCTTCAGTAACGGTCGAACGATAGTAAAAAGTCATAACAAAACCCGTAGCTACTTGTACTAAAAAAAAACAAGTGTAATTCCTCCTAAACAATAAAATATATGGATATTTTTGAGGAGAGGAGCCAGATCTTCTAACCACAAGAGGATTGTCTAATAATAGTGCTCTCCTATCAAAAAGTAAAAATTCTTAACTACAAAGGTCCAAGCAAATCATTTAAACACTAGTTAGGAAGTGTCTAATATATAAGTTGACTCCAATGGGCTGAGTATTGCCAAGTAGCCAAAACTAAAACACACCTACAAACAGGCGAAGTATGAAACATTGCAAGCAACCAAACAGCATGATTTCAAGTAAAATATTAGCAGCATACAGGAAATCGAGTTCTTTCATTTGATCAAACAAAGTCATTATCTTGACATCACAAACAACTGAACAAGAAACTAAAGTTACCCAGAACCAAGTTGATTCACATCAACGTACCTTATAGGATCAAAATTCTCCTTCATGGTTGCATATTCCCCTTTCAGTCGTGTAACCACCTCCTCAACCTCAGCTATATACTTCTGAATCTTCTCCGTTCCAATAGCAAGTTGTTCCTTTGCCATCTTCATCTCATCCACATTTAACTGCTCCTCAAGCCATGCGATCTCAAAATTTGCTTCCTTCAAGTAATCCATGGTAGATTTAATAAACTGAATTTCAGATGCTGAAACAGCTCTATGATGGAACTGACGTAGACTGAGAAGTATTTTAACCAGACTCAAACAAATTGTTCAAGAACATAAACTTCTTCTCCAAACACAGAAAGGTCTCAGGATGCAAAAAGGTGACTTCCTCAAGAATGGTTGCAAGTTCGTGAGTTGAGGATATTCCTCACCATATAACTGATTGGTTTTGAGTCGCCGTGGATGAAATATGCACCAAGGTGGTCTGACTCACCTCACCTTGAGTGTGTACTCGTTCCCTCCTCTTGATTTTGACATGTTTCTTTAGAAACTACTTCTTGTGACCCCATAAGACACGTGCTAGTGTTATCTTAGTTTGGGTTTCGTTACTTCTAGCATCTCCCTCACAGACTACTTGCTCATCTACAAGTTGGTCTTGAGTTAGGTTCCTCAGCAGCAACCTCCTGTTGAGGATTAACAGGATCCTCAAAAAGAGAGAAAAGATTAACATTATTTTTTGGCTAAAAATCTGTTGCAATATCACTATAGCTATCAATACTAATTAAACTACAATAAATATTCATATCCAAGTTACTGGTTCAATGCTAATTTCCCGGCATTAGACAAACTGACAGAAACGTATACATATCATTCCGAGATCCTATCTTATGTAGAACGGTAAAAGAGTAAATCATTGCAAATTATTCTTCCAAGATAAATCAAAAAGTATAATATAGAGGTAATTAGTGTGAAGGTGAACACTGGAACCTACTTTACAATTTACAAAAAATGTAACTAGATCGAACATTTCATAAACAATTTGACTGAATAAAAAACAAACCAGATAAACAAAGAGAGGAATATTATTACTCGAGTGCATTCCGTTGGAATTGAGGAACTGCTGTAGGCCACCATGGGAGCACAAAGGGAAAGGCCATCGAATGCCCAAACCACCGGGGACAATAAGTTAAGACAACATGCTGCTTTCAAAGTTCTGCTCGTCATGTTGCAAAGTAGAATAGTAAAATCTCGTTTATCAGTGCGTAGATATATAATGTCTCCATCAATGGAATGAAGAGGTAGAATTTTCATACGTTCATCTCGTCATATTGATTTCAAAGTTCTGCCGGTCATATTGATTTCATAAACAACACATCACCTTGGATATCGAATTTCAGAATAATCAACTCAGCAACCACTATTTCTCCTCATGGCCAGAGGTTGCAATTATTTCACCAAACTGTTTAGTACAGAGAAAACCATATTCATTGTTACAACATCTTCTTTATAGGGTTTTTCTAACATTTCTAGTACCCGTCCAACAATAGTTGACTGCCCCCCTCTCGAATTGGAACTTGTGGAATCAAAGTGACCAAAAGAACACATTAATTTTGTTTTCAGCACGTTAAGATCAATTCATAATACAATAGGAGTATATAAGTACCTGGTTGTCAGCTACCCTGAAATTTTGAAGAAAAAAAACTAAAATAAATAATAAATAAACATCAAATAATGGATTAACAAGTAGCAAATGATACAACTTTAAATTAATCTAGGGTGCAAAGATCGAAAATTGAATTATCCTCGCTGGTATTAGTAAGTGCATCTTAATGCTGTCCTTAGCAGACGCCATCATATTTTGTTGTCTACACCTCTCCCCTGAGGCCCCAACCAAAGAAGAAGAAGAAGAAAACAAAGATAATGCACATCTACTCTTTCAATGGGATTGGAGGAGTAAGATAGGAAAAATAAACCATTAACTTCACCCATTTACATGGGTGTCATATAATATAAATATAAATCATAAATATTTGACAATACGGTTTGAATCCATTGTAAAGCATTATACCGATAATGCTATTTAGGATAATAGTAATTTTCATAGATTTGTACATCTAAGCTAACAGAACACCTGTAAGCACTGAATTCTGTGATTTAAACTATCGCAGTATCATCTCCGATCATCATAAGGATTTAATCAGTAAAAATGTAATATTTTTTATGAATCATGTTCTTTAAGGTATTAGGCACATTCAATCTGATACGTATTATAAAGCTTCTACTTCACATTCAAGCCAAAAAGTTATCATTCTCATGTTACCTATACTATATCTAAAGATTAATATGCACTAACTAGGTTTCTAAATCATAATAATGGAATATAGTATTCATGTTGTAACTCGCAAGAAAATTTTATTGGGTTCCATATCCCAAGAAGCTATGAAGGAACTATGCGTTAACATTATGAATGAATAACATCGTACCTTATGGCTTCGATATATTCTTCCTACTGCCTAAAATATCCAAATGAAAGAAATAAAAAGTGATCAGAAGAAAGGTTTTTTTTTTTTTTTTCAAAAAGCAAATTGCATAGATTATGAAGTAACAGACTAATCCATAGAGAGAGCCTCAAGTAACTAAGGTGGCCAGACATGCCGTCAAGCTCGGAGGCTCTTTGTAACATAGCCCATTTACAAAGTTGGGCAACAACAATACATTTTCTAGATACCCAGTAAAGCTTAAATCCCTCAGAAGTTACCAACAGTTGCTTTGGTCCACTGGTTGAAGGTTCGTAATAGCTGACAATCACCCTCAATTTCGATTGCTTGATATCTTTATTTCCGAAGAATCTTGAGACCTGCTTTAAGAATAATGACCTTCATGATTTTGCAGAAATTATTAGCAGCATACAAAAATCTTGTTCTTTGATTTGATCAAGCAAAACCATTATCTTTGACATCACAAACAAGAAGCTAAAGTTACCCGGAACCAAGTTGATTTGCATCACCGTTCTTCATAGCATCAAAATTCTCCTTCAGGATCCCATATTCCCCCTTCAAACGTGTAGCCAACTCCTCAACCTCAGCTATAACCTTCTGAATCCCTCTCTCCATTTTATAAAAAAGTTGTTCCTTTGCCATTTTCATCTCTGCCAAATGCAACTGGTCTTCAAGCCATGCGATCTCTAAATTTGCTTCCTTCAAGTTATCCATGGTAGATTTGATAAACTGAATTTCAGATGCTGAAACAGCTCTGTGACAGAACTGACGTAGTATGAGAACTAGTTTACCCACAGACTCAAAAACAAATTGCTTGAAGAACAGAAACTTCTTTTCCAATCACTGAAAGGTCTCGGGATGCAAAATGGTGACTTCCTCAAGGATGGTGGCAAGTGCTTGGGTCATGGATATTCCTTGCCATATAACCAATTGGTTCTGAGTTGGATGAAATGTGTACCGAGGTGGTCCGACTCACCTCGCCTTGATCTTGTGAACTCGTTCCCTGCTCTTGACCTTGACATGTTTCATTAGAAACCACTTCTTGTGACCCCAAAAGACATGTGCTAGTGTTATCTTCATCAATTTCAAGTTCATTACTTCTAACATCTCCCTCATGGACTACTTGCTCATCTACAAGTTGGTCCCCAGTAGGTTCCTCAGCAGCAGACTCCTGTTGAGGATTAACAGGAACCTCTTGGGCCTGGATATTGGTTCTAGGTTCTGATAGTTGGATGACTTGTCCATTGGTTCTAACTATAGAAACCAAAGGAAAAAAAAAAATTTGAAAAGTTAACATTATTATTCCATTAGAAATCTGTTGCAATATCACTATAGCTACTGTTGAAAGATACAAAAATTGAAGAGAAAAATTAAACATGAAGAACACAAGGATAACACAAAAATCCCAAAGGGCTACATCACCTTTATTATATGATAATATGAGTAATGATACGGCACCAAACTTAATCACCGAATATGACCCAAAATCTGATGTGGCAAAGCCACATCATTCACTCATTCATTCCGCTGGAAAATTCTACCATTTTAAAAGGACTAATTTACCCTCAAAAAATTATCCAAACCCTTCCACGTTTTCTCCCTCTCAAATAAATATCTAGTCTTTGTGTTCAAAATGTCTCTCTCTCTCTCTCTCTCTCTCTCTCTCTCTCTCTCTCTCTCTCTCTCTCTCTCTCTCTCTGTGTATATATTTATATATATATATCACCCAAAACCCCATCGTCTCATCAATAACTATATGTATGCAATTCCCCTCCATGATCTACAGGCTTTAGTTAATCCGATTGGGTCAATCAATGAACACGTAAAGCTCTATCATCATCACCGATCCAACATCCAATTTAACTCACTAGAAAAATGAATAGTGACCCATCAAACTAGCAAATAAATCATAATTTTTCTTCTCTCTTCTCTCTCCAATTCTGACTCTCACTCTTCAATTTTGCATCTCTCACATATATGCCCTAATCTCTAACTTCATTAGGGCTTTGTGAAGGAAAATGGCTCTACTCATCTATGTCATGGTGTACTATTGATTTGGGTCTTCTTTGAATAAAGAAGACAATAGAAATGAATAGATAATTTGAAAAGTTTGATGGGTCTATTGGTCTGTGTCATTGCGAATGAACAAATTTGAAGGTCTTTTAGGGAGAGATGTGAAGCTAAGGGATTGTGGCAGTGGAGGGGTGGGGGCATCACAGAGATGGTGGCGGTTGAGAGTTGGATAGGACAATGAACAGAAAGATGGTGGCGGTGGAGGTGGAGAGGCGGGTAGGACAATGACAGAGATGGAGGAATTTTGAACACATACTTGATATTTATTTGAGAGAGAAAACATGGAAGGGTTTGAATGATTTTTTGAGGGTAAAGTAGTTCATTTAAAATGGTAGAATTTTCAAGCATAATGAATGAGTGAATGACGTGGCAGAGCCAACATCAGATTTCGGGTCTTATTCGGTGATTAAGTTCGGTTGCCGTATCATCTCTCTTATTGTTTACAATCAGCACCTCTATTTATAGGTGAAAGACTACAAGTGATAAATATAGAAAATGCATTGATGGAGGATACTAAAATCAATACCATAAATCACTCTAATCAATATTCTATCATAAGCTAAAATCACTTTTATGATATTCTCCACCACCCCCCAATACTAATTAACTACATAAAATATTCAATGCTAATTTACCAGCATAAGACAAAGACAGAAACATCTACATATCATTCAGAGATCCTATCTGATGTAGAACAATAAAAGAGTCAATCATTGCAAGGTACTCATCCAAGATAAATAAAGTATAATAAAGAGGGAATTAGGGTGAAGATGAACTAAGGAACCTACTTTACAATGTAACTAGATCAAACGCTTCATAAACAATTTGACTGAATAAAAAACAAACCAGATAAACAAAGAGATGAATATTATTACTTGAGTGTATTCTGTTGGAATTGAGGAAGTGGTGTAGGCCACCATGGGAGAACAAAGGGAAAGGCCATCGAATGCCAAAACCAGGCAAAAGAGTTAAAACAACACGCATCTTTCAAAGTTCTGGTCCTCATGTTGCAGAGTAGAATACCACAGTGTCGATTATCAACATGTAAATATATAATGTCTCCATCAAGGGAATGAAGAGGTAGAATTTTCACACGAAAGAGGGAATAACCTGGTTCCATCCTCTTCAGAACAACATTGTGCACCAAGGACCATTCAAGCCCATTGTTGTCCTTGAGTTCCCAAATGTTGAGAATGGAACAATAATGGTCGATGTACCTGAGGTGTCCTTGGCACTCCCCCAAGTGACGCTCATAAGCCGTGGGAAATTTGTCCTTGGGCTGCCTTATGGTCCGAAATTGATCAGTGTTGTTGAATGGATCATAGGCAAAGATCTTGCCATTATAAAGAAACAACCAGTGGAGTATTCCATTGCAAACCACAGCATTAGAAAGGTCATGAGACATAATAAAGTTACGCCCCCAGGTTGATAAGATGATTTCTGTCCATTTCCATGTGTCTGAAGAGAATATATCCAATTTGAGATTGGCCGAACGTGGTGGTGGGTTTGGGTATTGTGGTTTTTCGAATTGGTGGATTCGAACCACTCTGAAGCTAGTTGTGCAGGTAGTACTATCAAAAGAATAAGATGATTTGCAAACAAATCCAGTGATAACCCTTTCTTCGCAAGTGGGTGGTGGAGGAAGTTCAACCCAATGCATTGTGAGTGGGTTGCAGACATAGTACACCCTCTGGAAAGTTGAGGTTGGAGAGCAAAATACTAAGCCATTGCTCGATGCTAAGTAACGAATTGGGACTGGTTCAGGTTGATCCGATGATGACGACGAGGAAGACGTAGGTGGTGGATTTGAAGAGGGAAGGAAGTTTAGAGAAAACCCACGAGATTCAAAAACGGGTGCTTCAGATGCTAATTGGACTGCACCATCATTGTACTGGTAGAAGAGGGCAAAAGGAGGCATCAAAGATGAACAATTGTGGGCATAACATAAAGCAAAATGAGGAGTGGAGATAAAATCATACCAGCGTTTTGAAACACACTTGCAGAGATGGATGAGTTTGAGAGTGAGTCTTTGGAGAATTTCTACGAACAGTTCGTGGGATAGCTTATCAAAGGGGGAATTTGTGGTGAAGGAGGAAGAGGGTGACGAAGATTCAAACGATTTGAGTCTTTTGAAAGTTGGAGAGCCGAACACCACCGCCGTCTCCGCCGTAACTGTCGTAGTACCTGACTTATCATCATCCCTCATCACCATAGTCCCTCTCACCATGTAGCTATTGCATTAGGTTTGTGCTCTGCTTCCTCTACATACACTGTGACTATACCAATATAAAATTGGTTCTTTACTAATGACTTGAGAGAAGAGAGGGAGGGTTTAGAATTTTGGCTATATGGGTTGAAATTTGGTAGGGGGGAAGTGAAAATTTTGAATTTAGTGAGAAAATTTTATAGATTTTTGGGAATAGAGAGAGGAGGGAAAAGCTAACCGCGTGAGAGGTTTTTTTAAATCGCGTGAGGGGTTTCTTTATTTAAAAATTCCAATTTCATTTTAATTTTTACATTTTTTTTAACCCAAATTTTAATTTTACTTAAAACTAATTAAGAGTAAATCAATATAAAAAGACAACTTTCATTCGCATATTTGGCCGTGGAAATTGGTGCAACTCTTACTAATTTAAGAGTGGTGATAATCACACCGAACCCTTGTAGTGATTTGGCTAATCAAATACGGAGTAATTTTTAATTAACTATTTATACTAAATATAACTAAGTAAAAACTCTACTTCTTTATCTGTTCCATAATTGGTCAATTAAAAAAATGATAAATTACACTTACCTCCCTTGAAGTTTCGTCAACCTACACAAACCTCCCCTCCTGTTTGCTAAATTACATTAACCTCCCCTGTCAATGGATGTTGTTAACGGAAAGAGTAAAATTACTAATTTACCTTATTAATTTATTATAAAAATATATAAAATATCATGGATGTAAAATACCAATAGTACCCTTTTAAAGTTTTTTTTTTTTTTTCCCTTCCCCTTTCCCATGGCCGACAAGCCCCCCTCTTTCTCTCATTTGTCCCCGACAGCTCCACATGGCCGTTGCTGCCTCTCCCCAAATTTCAATAAAAACCCTAATTTGCATCAGATTCTTAATTTGCTGTCGCTACCTCTCCCCAACCACATCCGCCACCGCCATCTCCCCAACCACAACCGTCGAAGCCATGTTTCCTCTACCACAATTGCCGCAATCATCTCCCTCCTTATACCGCCACCACTTCTCCTCAACCACAACCGCCGATTCTCGTTGTCGGGTAATTCACTCTAACTATTCAGGCCCTGTTTGGCATGCGCTTTGTTTTAGGCGTTTTGTTTTTGGCTAAAACAGGAATAATGTTTTTGTTGTAGGAGTGTTTTGGAAAAAAATCGGAAGCACGTTTAAGAACAATGTTTTGTTGTTGAAATGTCGGAAACAGAAACATGCAAAACATATTTAGTAAGTCATGCGTTTCAAGAATTTTGAAAACAAAACATGTTTGGAATTGGAATTGGAATTGGTTGAGATTAATAGTTTACATCAATTTATATGAAAATTTTCAAAGTATAGGAGTTCAATGGATTCATGTAAGCAACATTCAACATCAATTACTCAACAATGTTTAAGGAATAACGTAATTAAGAATGATTCAAGTGAGTTTTTACCACATTCTCTAATTCAAAGTATTGAAATTGCAAAAAGAGAGGAGGTTTTGGAAGTGCTTAAGATCCTAGTACCTTTCAGACATCATCCACCTGATTTGTAGTTGAATTGAAGCCCAAAAGTCAAGTTTACATTAACCTGTCCAATCTCCAATAACTAATTTTTTGGATATAAAAACAATAACTTCAATACATACTAGTGAGTCTTCAATTTCATAATCCACACAACCTATTCAAATAAAATTTACTCAAGTGGTAAAATCAAATATATAACATTGGAAGTAAATGACAATATACCAACCTATGTATATTGAACAAATAATGGAACCTTTATTAAAAGTTGACATAAATCTGCTTTGAATCTCTATACACAACTATTTAATTGTATTATTTATTACAAGAGGCAAAATGTAAATAATACATGGTAGCAAATATTACAATTTTTTTCTAACTGCCCAACACATCTCAAAAACACTAGTCCAGCCTTTCTTGTCTGCAATATATAGTCACCTGGAAAATGAAAAAAAAAAAAAAAAAAAAAAAAAAAAAAACCTCAAATATTCAAACAAAGTCGTCAAACCTGTCGAGATCGTCGAAGATAACAGCAAAGGAATGCAGATTGTTGAAGGTTTCGGCAAAAACTGCAGTGGAACCTTGGATTTATACGTCCTTCCAATTGTTGCATAGCAGTCGCCAAGAATCACCACAGACGAGAGAGCAAACGCGAACCCTTGCAAAAATAGTTGTTGCCTCCGCTACAGTAAAATGATGGTTTTTGTGTCCTCCGCTACAGTGATTTTTAGCCCAAACAATACCAAAACAACAAAAAACACCAAAATGGTGTTTCAAATTTTGGGCCCTCTTTTTAAATTGTTTTGCAACTGTTTAAAATACAACAAGCCCAGCCAAACATGTTTTGGGCTTGAAAGGGGGTACTGTAGCAGGCCTAAAACAAAACAAAACAGATGCCAAACGGGCCCTTAGTGCAAGAATCATTTTCCATAATTTAAAGATATGAGAAGGAAAAAGATATAAAAAGTAAAAGAAATGAAAGCGGAGTGAATGAAATGAAAAAACAGTTTTTATCTTTTATTAGTTAGTAAAAAATATTTTCAAGAAATTTGTACCAAAATCTTATTTTATGCTTTGAATAACTGTTAAAGCTACAAGAATGTGATTTTGCTTAACTAATCTTACAATATTTACCCTTTTTTTTTTCAATGAATGTTGTGTTGGCCTCTTAGAACAGCGTATAATGTATTACCAGGCATATAATTTATTACTAGGGCTGATCACGGATGATTTTGAATAAAATTCAAACCAATCTGGTCCTCACGGATTGGCTAAATCTGAAACCGAACCGATCCGTAGGGACTCTCAATCCAAACCAAACCAATCCGTGAAATAACATATTGATTTAGTTCGATTCCCACGAATTGGGCTTGATAGAACACAACTAAGAAAACTAAAATTAGAGGCAAAATACTATTTTCGTCTGAGTCATGCATTAATTTAAAGGGAAAAGGAGAATCTGTTATTGTTAACTCTCTTTCGAAATACTGATTTTCGTTTAAGTCATTCATGAATTTCTAAAGACTATACATATTAATAAATGAGCTATGAAAATGACACAAGATGGAGCAATCAAGATTTTTTTTTCTAGAAGAGGAACAAAAATTCATAGAAGAAAATAATGAAAAACTTATGAACTCACTGGAAATTCGATGTAAATGAAGAGGAAATGATTGGCCAATGTAAATTAGAGATGCTTACTTGTCTGGGTTCCATAAGAGACAGAGAGTATTGGGTAACCTGTGCCTTCTATGAGAGACTGTGAGCAGAGCAGTGGGTTTGTGGGATCAAACGAGACTTGATGGGAGACCAGAGAAGCATGCAAATGAAGGGAATATAAAAACTAAAAAGTGTAAAACACTAAGCCACAAAAGCAGTAAAACATTTTAGGTTCGTAAAACAATAAAACTTTTGAAAACTTAATGATTAAAGAAAACAAAAACATCAATAATGTATTATACATATACTGTATACTATATATGTTATATAATATATGTATATTAGTTTTACGGATTGGTCACAGATCGGTTCAGTTTTTTCAGCACCTAATCTGTTAACCTATCCGGTCACTTCGAATTACTAATTTTTCAATCCATCACCGAACCACGATACTAGAAAACCAAATCGAACAGCACAGATTGGATCGAATCGATTCGGTTTAGCAGATTGACAGATTATTTGAACACCCCTATTCATTACCGGACATATGGTTGCACATTCAATATACATGAGACAATTAGTAAAAATTAAATAAATGAGTGGATGTGGTGTGATAACCCAGTGGTAGGGCATGTGTTGCCCCTGGCGAAAGGTCCAGGTTCGAATCCTCACTCTATCAGTAATGTCCTTTAAGCCCATTTTTATTGGAAAGGAAATGGAGGGAGGTGGTTTTTTGTATTTGGTCTAAAATTTTGGAAGGAATTGAAAGGATTTAGAGGAATACACAACAGCTTGATGAGTAGATTTTGTTATCTTTCAAAAAAATGGGAGGAAATGGAAGAAAATGAAAAAATATGTCAACATTTTTACTGAAACTTTATTAATATCAAATTTGTCCTTATTTTTATGAAAGATAAAATCAATTGAAAAGGGTATGGTAAGTAAATTCATTAAAATATTTTCATTTACTTTCTTTTTCTTTATTAATCAACGAGGCACTACCGCTATGTTTGATATGGTAGAAAAAAAAGAAAAAAAAAAAAAAAAAAAAAGAAGAAGAAGAAGAAGAAGAAAGAAAGATAACATTAGTTAGAAGAGAAAAGAAAAGAAAGGGAAGATGAGAATATTGTTAACTACTTACTGTGTTTGGTTGATTAAGAAAGTAAAAGAAAAGAAATGATAGCAATCATGTTTGGAAAAAAAAGAAGAAATGAAACTATAAAAATGAATTTACTATCATACCCGTTTTATAGATTTTTTTCTTCTATAAATGTAACGAACCTGAGAGATACCAAAATAATAATAATATATAAAATTTCGGCATGACCTCCGCAGAAAAAGTCCCTCTATAACTTGTTGAAATACATAAAATGTAATGACCTCACTTGGCCTTAAAACTAATCTATACTGTCCCAACACACAATGCAAATAATATACCACATTTCCAAAATAATCACATACATATAAAAAGGTCCCGTTCCTTCATCACATCCAAACAAGGAATCACCTGTTCACTACCTAGTTCCATAATCCTTTACAAGGAACGTACTTTAATTACATCAATTAATAGTGCATAAAATATACCTAAAATTTAAAGTCCGTAACTTACAACATTATACTAATTGAACTAAAGTTTCACAAAATAGTTAAGATTACATTTACAAAATATTAAAGTTTTAATACAAAAGATAGCAAAATAAGTAGATCTCTAAATCCGTCTAAACTTGTGATGGATCGTCGTCCGCCACCTCTTTTTCGTGACCTGAAAATGTTAATACAAAAAGGTGAGCAAATTGTTCAGTAGGTGGTGCCTAAGACACACTTTTTGTGACCTCGTGAATCCAAACAATGAATAGGAATAAAGGAAAACGGGATCATGCCATGCCAGGAAAAATACAATACAATTTTAAGGTCATAAATAAATAATATCGTGCCATGGAATGCAATGTCATGCTATGCCTCTCCCCATTTAAAAATCCCTTCCCTTCATCACTTTTCAAACCGTTAACATAACCCGTCCCGTGACAACTCCATGGCGGCACGAGAAAATGATTGG